CCCAGAGCAGAGGATAGAACCCAGGAGTCCTGCCTCCCAGCTCCCCGGCTCTAACCACTAGCCCCCACTCCCCTCCCAGAGCAGAGGATAGAACCCAGGAGTCCTGCCTCCCAGCTCCCCGGCTCTAACCACTAGCCCCCACTCCCCTCCCAGAGCCAGGAATAAAACCCAGGAGTCCTGGCTCTCCCAGGAGAGTCCCCCTGATCTAACCCGCACTTTCCCTGCACAGAACTGGAAATATCCGAGTCACAGCCCTGCTTTTTAGCCTCAAGACCATCTCAGCCCTACAGGCTAGAGGGAGCTGAGAAGGCTTTAGGGGGTCGAATTTCCTTCACAAACAGGCTGGCTGATGGCAGATATTGGAAGAAAAGCAAATAGCTCCAGAAAGCACTGGGATTTCCCTAAAGGGTTTAATCGGACTGTCCCCATCAGCAGGGATGAGAAGGAACCCTGGTTGCATTACAGCCAAACAATGGAGACTCTAATCCTGCCACATTAAACTATTGAAACTTACCATTAAAGAGGCAGGATCTTTTTAACTCCACCCCTCTTAACTGTGCTCTCACTACGCCGATCTGTCTGAAAATTAAGAAGCAGGCTCTTGTACCTGCAAAGGAAATTTCCTGGAAAGTTGGAGGGACATTTAATGAGATGTTTGTGGGAAGACAGATGATTTCACAAAACAAAAAAAAAAAAAGTGATTTTGCAATATGCAAGCACAGCAGGTATGGCAGCCCCGTCTAGTGACAACGGGAAGGATAGTAGTCTACTACAGCGAACAGCCGAAGGAGTTCCCCTTTCAGCTCAAGGGGTAGCACACTGTGCTGTGGATTTTGATTGTCCTGAGTTCAAGTCCCGTTGTGAACTCACTCAATGGCGACTTTCATAGCCCGGGCATTTGCTTTTGCAGTTCTGCCGGCTACAGACCCCAGCTAAGATCAGGGCCCACATCATGATGGGCATTGCCCAGAAACCCACCAAGATCAGGGCTTCCATCGCACTGCCCAGATCCCGACCGAGATTGCCCCCCCAATGCTCCAATAACCTTACTCTGTGAACAGCCAATGGGTCTGGTGCAGTGGACCAGAGTAGGTGGGTTATTTGGGTATTGAGCAGTTTAAGGCATACATTGGGAACACAGTAGGTTTACGTGAGTGTACGTCCCAACCAGTCTGTGGCCCGAACAGAGGGCTGGGAGCCAGGACTTCCTGAGTGCTATCGCTATCTCTGTGGTCTCCTATGGGCTTTTTCCCACAGATGGGGAAGATCTGGCTGCTGCGTTAAGAAAACAATCTGTCATTTCAGGGACTGGGGGGGGGGGGGGGAAAGAGAGCCTGCCTGCAAAAAGATGTTGCTCCCTGGACTAATGAAACATGGAAGCAAGGAAAAAGCCAGGCTGACAGGGTGGAGCTGCACCCATGCCCTATGCAGCGCAGACAACCATGGGGAGCATGCAGAATTCAGCATGCTTCAGGCTGGATTCATGGCTCTCCCATCCCTGCACTTGGGGCAGGGATGTGGGGAAAAAGGTGGCTTGAAGCCCCCTTTGCGCTCCCCACATTCTGGGCCTTGCCCAGCTCCCAGCAACAGTCAGAGCAACCCCGAGGCTGCTCTAACTCACATACTCACTGGGCCCTGGGGAGCAGAGAAGTGGGCGTAGCGCAGTGTGCTCCAGCCATGCCCCCGAGCCGCCCCCTAGGCCAGATTGCAGGGCCCTAATGCTAGTTCTACCTGGGCTGGAGAAGACCCCTGCAGGGGTGGGGGTGGGAGAAGGCTGCTTTTCCCACTTTAAGGGCCATTTGTGCTGCACAGAGCAGCTCGAGTGTAATTATCCAAAGGAATGTCAAGAGGCCTCTTGATGCTGGTCTAGAAGTACCGACACAGGCGGCAGATTTCTGCGAGCGGAGGGCTGGGTAAACCAGCAGACAAAGGCTGATGTAGACCTGGACGAATTCAGACAGTAAACAAGATGCAAATTTTTAAAGAGAGGGAATTAACCGTAGGAACTACTGACCCAGGAACAGGGGGTTGAGGGGAGTAATCAAGATTGGACAGCATTTAATCCACTCTAGCTCGACCACCAGATAGGGGCTGGATGTAGGAACGGCCGGGTGGGACTCTCTGGACTGGGCTAAACAGCCTATATAGCCCCACTGATGCACCAGGACCCATTTGGGCCAAGCATATTAGGTGTACTACGGTAGTGGCAAGGAGTCCCAGCCATGGGCAAGACCCCCAGCGTGCTAGGCGCTGCATAAAACACAGAACAAAACAAAACAAAAAAACAAAACAAACAAAAAAAAACCAGTCCCTTCTGGCCACAGACTATGAGAACTGAGCAATTTTCCTTTCATTCACACTTGTGACTCTCCAAGCTAGAATCCGGCCCCTGAGAGACCCACAGACCTTCCCCTGTGCCCCATTTCACCCCAGAGGAGGAGGAGACCGAAAGGAGCCAAGACCGCTGTAGATCTATAGGGTTCAGGGCGACGCCTGCCTTCCTGGGAGATGTCAGACAAGACAGGGAGTCCCCCGCAGGGCACGAAAGGCTAATCAATTTATCATACTTCTATCGCATGACACACCTTACATGCCCCTAGGCACTGCATCTTCACACCCCCCCTCTCCACAGCTGACCTTCATGTTGCAAACAGTTTTAGACAGATAAGGCACCCCTAGAATTCCGGTGCCCCATGGCACTTGCCTACGGTGCCTAATTGGAAATCCAGCCCCGTCTATAGTGCCCACCACT